AGTTAGTTAGTTTAGTAGCAATACTTCTCGCTAATGGCAAATAAAAACATCGTGATTAAACCGAAAAAGGTTCACAACGCTTGGAAAACCCGTATTGGGCCAGCGTGACGAATTATAATCTAACCGCTTTCCTTAAGGGAGACCCGTGCAACGTAGTAGTGGAACGTATAATAGGTTATTCTAATGAAATAATTCCTCTTGTATTTCACAGATTAACAGCCCCATACTTGTTCATGCTGGGCGTGGTAGAGGTAACAATGAAATGGTTTGCGTCCAACTCTATCTTCGAGCCACCGGCAATGGATCACGAGACATGCCCTAAATATTGGTGGAGAAACTTACTGTATATTAACACACTTTTCCCAGTGGAACAAATGGTGAGTTAAATATAATTCAATCTTAAGGTTATCCATCTTGGAGTTACTGGTCCACGTAAAAAAATATCAACTTTTAAATTTTAGTGTATGCTGTGGAGTTGGTATCTCTCTGATGACACCCAGTTCTACGCAGTCAGCGCTATGCTCCTTATTTTGGCAACAAGGTAATTTCGTCAAACTCAAAAGATTCTCACAAGCGCTTCTAACTCCTGTCGTTTTATCTAATAAATACATATTCTTATGACTTTTTCAATTCTTTCAGCCACTTCAAGCTGTCAGTTGCTCTAACCAGCGTATTTTTCGTCTCATCTCTAATAACGACAGGCTACGTTTCATGGTCAAACGATCATATCCCCAACAGCGAGGATCCCTTCACGCAGTTTGACAAGATCTATGACAAGCCGTGGACGCGACTCGGACCGTATCTTGTTGGCATGGTCACGGGCTGGATATTATTCAAAACCAACCTGAAGATCAGAATGAATCGGGTAAGCTATCTACTTGTTTTCTAATATAGAAATGCATTTCTTCTTCTTCTTCGTCTACAAACAGCTGTGGACGTCTCACGGCTGAAACGATAATCATGACTATGTTTCTGTTTTAACTTTTTCTCTTTCTTACAGATATGGGCTTGGGTTGGCTGGATAATATGTACATTTACACTACTTTTCCTGATCTTTGGTCTATACAAGACGGAACTGGGCGTGGCGTCCGCTGCTATATACAGTGCACTCTCGCATTCGCTGTGGGCCGCTTGTATCGGCTGGATCATTATAGCCTGCTCCACTGGACATGGAGGTATGAATCACAAATAGATATTAATTTTTCTTCTTCATCCAACAAATAAAGTCTTTGCCATATCTCTTAAGTTGCCTATTACATTTCAAAGTACCGATTGTTAGACATAAGCATTTCATAATTAAGAAAGTTTTCGGTGCCAAAGAGCCTTCTAACTACTAAAATTTAAAAAATGCCATGTATTCCAGGTTTTGTGCGACCGTTGCTAGCTGCACCCGTGCTGTATCCATTTTCGCGGGTGACGTATTGCGCGTACCTGGTGCACCCCGTAGTGCTGCGGTACGTCGCCATGCATCTCACGCATCCTATACACCTTGGCGAGCTGCTAGTGGTACGTTATCACAAAATGGTTGTTAATAGAATGACAGAACATAGCCAATGACCACGTTAATTTTAGCAAATTTGTGTAGAATGACAAAAGCATTTCTTCATAACAGATCGATAAAGTTTCAATTACTTTCACAAATTGAGAAATTTATCGTTTGTTTTGATAAGATTTAATCATTTGGCAGCGACGGCTACAGACCCGAAATTTCATACGTTATATTTATTTTCAATGGCTGCTACGGGATCTTGAATATAACCGCTTATCTTCTCCTCAGTTCGTCTTATTCCTCGGGCTGACGGTCATCTCATACGCCGTAGCCTTTGTGATCTCCGTGGCCTTCGAAGCGCCCATCGTAACCATGCTCAAAATCGTCAGTCCGCAGAAGAAGCCCCACCGGGTATGACTAGAGGCCCCCGCTCCCCGCCATCAACCCCGCACCCCATATAAAAACAACATAAATAGTCATACAAACAAAGACATTCAAGTGACTGTACCAGAGACGGCACTTATACCAAAAGTGCAGGCATAATACTAAAGTACCATTGTTATAATAATATGTATATGTATTGTTGTAGTACAAAATATACACAGGGTGTTTACGTCCATGCCTTCAATTTTATGTTTTATTTTTATACTCTTAGGAATGTTTAAATGAAAAAGACATTACAAATGACTGCATTGATATTTTTAATTCATAATTTTATATCAAACGTGTGATAATGATAAACTACTTGAACACCAAAAGTATTGTTGTAGGTGTCGTGAACAATGCGTGTTAATTCTTTGTACCTAATTTATTTGATTAATCACGTTCATTGAGACGACAATGGTGACGTCTTTAGGTCCTCAGCATATGAGGAGATTGTATATTTTTGTTAACTTAAGGACAGAAAAATTGTAATGAAATGTACTGTTGTTGTTGTCATATTGTCCCTCTCTCAGCTCTTGACATTTGTCGTCACTCAGCTTTCAAAAAGAAACGAGAGCCGGCTGAAAAATAACCTCTTTTTACTGTTACAGAGTTACCGATAAAAAAACTATACTGGCCACTATCGTGACGTATTCGTTGGTTTTTTTTTTCAAAATTAGTGACCCTCTTTTGTTACATTTCGCTTTTCATGAATAACACGTCGGAAGAACTGTTTTTTTATATATCAAGCTTAGAATAATAACGCATAGAATGATAGTTTCATATCAAACGAACAGTCACAAGTGAGGCAAAAATCAAATTCATGTAGGCTAGCTTTAGTAGTAGGTTAACTTTCGGTTTTAATGAATATTTGTATAAAAATCCAAGTTGAAACGCGTTACTTCCTTGTGGAATGTGATGTTAGTATCTATTTTATGTTTGTCTGACGTATTTTTACACTCATTTACCGCACATTTCGTCATTTTTAGCTAAAATCTGTTCGCGGTGCAAGTTGACCTTGAGCACTGAATGCCCGCCCGCTCGTGTAGGCCCTTTGGGAGCGCTTCAATTTGCCTCACTTAGCGTGTGCGGACTAAGTTTCTATGCGTTATTATTCTAAGGTATCAAGTATTTTTTTAAACAGACCTTTTGTATCACATGAAATAAATGTATTTCCCTTCCTGGGGCATGAAAAAAAGAGTAGCCATTAACGTTTTTTATTTCATACCATAAGTAGATTACTTTTCAGCGGCCCGCCGTATTATTTTTAGACCTTTTTTCACATATAACTATAATTCATTGACAGAAACAGTTTGACACGAGACACACCATAAATAATTACGTAATGCTGGTGACGACAGATAAGAGAGGAACGATGTAGTCATCAATTAACTCACGTGAACCTTTCAACCAGAAATAATCTTACTGTGGATATAGTTAAGCTCCAACCTCTGTCAATTATGATGCCCAAATTTTTGAAAATCATAACAATATAATTTACCAAGTGTAATGTCGAAGTTTCATTGTTCAAAATGAACATGCATTTTATAATTCAAGTGTAGTTAGGTGAAATTTTGTAAATAAGCTGTACATATTATTAGTTGTAAGCTATTAATGACTACTATATTATTTTTAAATAAAAAATATAAATACGTTAAATACCCGTTTTTTTTTTCTCTCGAAATTTAATTGAAAAGTCACCCATCCAAAAGTAATGACATAAAAATGACATCTGTAGTCAACGGCTGGTAGCTGTAAGGGTACCTTTTTTTGCGAAGGAAATGTTTATAGATACCGTCGATACGAGTCCAGAGAGACTCAGGCGTTATGTGGGGATTCTCCCCCAGACTGGGGGGCCAACCCCACTAAAGCCTCTCCCTGGTTCACCTCTCGCCGATTGAGTCGGCGCCGCAGAATCGGTGAACACTCACCACGACGAGCTGTACGGGTACCTGGCTAAGTGAAGAAACACCTCATACATAGCTCACAGATGGCGTTCCGGTAAAAAGTCGTTAAAAACCAAATAACAAATATCTGTAACAAGCACAGAAAAATTCGTAAGGTTTGCTGGTTCGTTTCGGAGCTCAGTTGTTGGGAGAGCGTCAGGTACGATATACTGAAGGTACGATTCCAGCTGGATCAAAGGAATTTTAGTATTCGATTTTTGTAATTATAATTATAACAAACTAGTGGAGTAATTTCACAAAAAAAAGTAGAATATCATGGTTAGTAAAACGTCGAGGTATTCAATAAACTAATATAACAATAACAATTATTAAAGCGACATCTCTAGTCAGCCGCTGGTAGCTATAAACTAACTTGACAGAGTCAAGAAAAACTTTCATAGATTTCTCACAGATGGCGTTAAGGCAAAAGGTAATAGTTATATTTTAATTAAATTTCCCGTCCTTCCTTAAACTTCCCGTAATCCAAACTGTCAGATTATAATAGATTTTAATTTTCATAAGAACGCCAGTGAAGAAAATATAACTGCTGCTTTTTATTTTCATTTTAACTCTTTTAATACCCGAATAGGGCACGATGTCAAAAATCAATTACTTAGTTCTACATGGTTCTACGATTAAAGCCGTTTCATAAGCTTATTTTATCTTTGTTTTGGTATAAAAGCTTTTACCTATACCTGCCTAAGCCTGCCTAACACTCTAGGCCCGCCTATATCAAAGCAATAAAATAGCAGCATCCCTATTATAGTAAATTTGTGAAAAATAAAGCTATCAAGAAAAATGGCGTGTTTTTGAAGTTAGTACAGTTGTCACAAACATTATTTTTATCGTGATATATTAGTATATTAAGTAGAGAATACGAATAATTATACGAATAATTAAATGAAGACATGGCTCAAAGTACTTATATCCAAGTCAAACCTCTAGTATTGTTCAAAGTTTTTTCATATTTGATTTATTTTGTACGTGAACCAACCTTAGCATAGTCTGTGAACCGGTGGAACGGAACGTACACAATGTTGCCATAATTATTCATCATACAAATAAAATATTAGGTATAGGAGCCATTATTGTTTCCACTAGTTACTTTGAATAAAATTGTGTTTTTAGGTTCCCATTTAATTATGTCGTTTCAAAATTAAACGGTTTAAAAAATTTGCAAACTCTAATTACACTAAAAGGCTTAAACCATACCATATAATTAGTAATAATTAATTCGTTGTATGGAAAAGTTACTACTTCTATGTGAAAGAGCGCGCTAGAAAAACCCAACGGGCCCATAGCCATCGCTGGACCTGTAACCGGGTTACTCAACATAACATTTTAGAAATCAATTCAGGTATAAATAACAGATAATTTGTAGTTTAGTAACAGGTACTTAACTATTCCATTGTTCTATTATTTCATATGGCAACATTACACCCAGAATTTGAAATTTGTTGAACGCCAACGATCTTTCAAGTTTTCAACGATTTTTCTGTGGTGTTCTGTTTTTGAGTGTATTTATTAGCAAAACGTAATATTTTTCCAGTGAATAGTTTATTAGTGATCTATTTAGCTGTGCGACGAAATGGCGTCGTTGGAGAAAAGCAAACTAAAAGAAAAAAATCAAAATATTCAAGTCTTTGTCAGACTGAGGTAAAGTGTTATTGTGTTATACATTTTATTGTTTTCTGTTGTTTTTTTTCGTTAATTGTTAAATAATGAGGCTGGTCCACGTATGATGTCTTGTTACACATACATTATTAGTATATTTATAGCGAATCTCGGTAATTAATTTATCTTTCATGACACCCTAGATTATCTACAATGCCTTTGTAAAATTCGGCTTGATACTTAAGTCGAGGTGTTCTTTCGATCAAATTATCCATCGAATAAGTGGCTCATAAACGATGTGTTTCTTTTAACATTATTTGTGGTCCAAATTAATGATTTTGAGATATTTTTGTTTTAATGCAACATGCATGCAACAGTTTATAATATAAATTTTTTTTTTCCTATTTCTCTTAAGTATTACACAGTTATTGCGATGTGCTGATTAGCCTATTAAATAAAGTTTTATATAAAACTGTGTAGTAGATGATGATACAAAGAAATTGTAATATAAATAGTATAATGTGTGTAGTTGTATGTAAATAGGGTAATGATCAAAGATCCGAAAGGCAGAGATGATAATACCTCCCTAAAATCCCAATTGTATTGTTTAGGTAAATAGCTTTGCCTATCCCAATCTCTGGTAATGATGGTCATCACCGAGAGTACCCAAGTTATCTATTTTCTAAAAAATCAGAAAAATTGGGGTAAACATTTATATGTATGACTTTTTGTGTTAAAAGCTCTTTTAATTTTAATAAATTGATTCCAAAATAGAATTTGTAAATTGCACAAATATAAAACTAATCTTGCTTGGCTTCCACATTTAAACTTATAGTGTATTCCAGAAAATTATAAGTGTTTTTGACCCTATTTTATTACATTGAATACAAGTGATCTTTTTTAGGTACATTTTAAACTGCCATGTTCTAACACATTGTTTTATTGTATTTTAAATATGAAAGCTCATTTCACTTTGCCAAACACTGCCGCAAATTGTGAAGATGTATATACTATGATTACGAAACCGAAAGGACAATGTGCCCTTTTGTCCTATTATTACACTAACATTGCCAATAGTGTTGTAATTATGTTCTAAATTGAAAAGGCATAAGTGGTTACTTGCTTTACCTACTTACATTTAGGTAGAAAACATTACACTTTTGGTTTTATATATTCCATTTACACTTGGCATAGGGCATTTGCTTGCCCTATGCCAAGTGTATTTTGCCCATGCTAACCAGCATTATGTCAAAAGCTCTTTTAATTATGTCTCAGGGTGACAGGTGCAGTGACAGTGCCCATAAGATCTTTACGATTTAAAGCTCTGAATGGCACTACAACTGTTATGGATAAGCGAGTCACTTACCACCAGGTGCATAATGTGTTTCTAGAAAACGTAACAGATTAAATAACATCCTATTAGAGCTCTGGTCCATGTTTTGAAAGCATTCCTGTCAGTGCCACTTATGCCATGCCATTGCAGCAATGCTCCAACCGGAGATCAAAACAATTGAAGCCAGAAAAAGCCTTCAATTCTTCAATACTCTTGTTTGTTGTTCTGTGTAGTAATTAGTGATGATCACAGTAGAAAAATGACTGGTTGCAGACATGAAGGGCTGCACAGGCCCCGAATGATGCCACCCTTGTAACTAATATGTCTTTTAGGCTGTGGAAGAGGGCAGAATCTAAAATAGATAACCTAATAATAATAATGTAGCAAATTAATGTTAGAATTCAATACTAGTACTACAACATAATATATGTATAATAACTTTCCAGTTTCAAAAAACAATTTCTCAACTTACAGACCCCTAAACCAACGTGAGCGCTCAATCCGTTCATTGAGTGTTGTGGAAGTATTGAACAACAGAGAGGTATTGGTTCGCCAGTCTCAACAAACAGCACACACCAAGCGCTTCACATTTGACCGTGCATTCGGGCCAGCTGCTGAACAGGTAGAAATATACTATTTTAATATAGAATAATAATTTTCTTTTTCTGTACATACACTATATTAAATGGTGAGGTGGTTTATAAGCAGTGAACTGAAGGTTGCTGACTTAGTGTAACTTGCTTGTCAATCATATGACTTTGGTTCTGGTGATTTTATACATGTATAGCCCTTATGTTTGTCAGGGCCCGTTCCCACTATGTCGTGACGAAAGATTGTCGTGCAGTTTACAGTGTCGTGGCTTGTATATTTAAATGAAGTTGTTCACATATAGCACGACATGATTAACTGTCGTTCACGATTTTTTATCGTTACAACGACAAACTGTCGTCACAGTGGGAATAGCTAGAACGACAGTCGTCAAACGATAAAATACGTGACGACAGATTGTCGTCACGTTCTATTTTATACGTCACGTTATATTTTCTTTTCTTTGTTTGCTTCCTCTTCCGCATTTTTAAAAGTAATACATTATTAAAATTTCGACGTCATCCATTTCGAGCGAACACACACTACCGGCTTCCAAAAGAACATTCAAGCGACTGCAGTGCATCAAACGATTCTGTCGTGCAAACGACAAGGAGGCTGTCGTGAAACGATAAATTGTCGTCACGATCTAGTGGGAACAGCTAGTCACGACCGTCGTTCAACGATAAAAAATCGTCCACGACAGATAGTCGTGATAAGGGAACCGGCTAGACACGACAGTCGTCCAACGATAATAAAACGTGACGACATAGTGAGAACGCGCCCTCAAGGTTGTAACTGGCCCCATGGTGTAGATTTTTGCTGATGTGAGACATCAACAGTGAATTTGTTTTAATTGCTCAATAAATTTATTATTATTATCCTAGTTGAATCTGAAATGGATTTTAGGCCTTTACATTATAGGCCTTCTGGACTCTTCTAATTGTTTACAGTTTGGGCCGCATTCAATTAAATAAATTAATGAAAGTGAAATAAAAAACTATTGATCTAACTCAGGCAGACTGTTGGGTCTCCATGAGTTGCGAGTTTTTGTCTCCTCAAGTTGTAATCTACATTAAGTCAATTAATATCCAATGCTTCGACCAATTGTTATTTGACAGTTGATTATTCGCAGATTGTCTTGAAAACTTTTCAAGTAACCTCTTGTAGTTTATTACGTTATATTGTACTTCATATTCAAATGAAAAGAAACTGTTATTTGCAGAAAATGTATATGTGTACATATAAAATAAATTGCAATTTCACTCTTATTCAAATTCCAGGTGGAGGTGTACAAGGAGGTGGTAAGCCCTCTCATTGCTGAAGTGCTAGCTGGATATAACTGCACAGTGTTCGCATATGGACAGACAGGCACTGGAAAAACTCACACCATGGTCGGTGAGAGTTCCGGTGAAGGATGTTCTTGGCAGAATGACCCACTGGCCGGAATGATCCCTCGCGCCCTGAGCCACCTATTCGACGAACTGCGCATATCGAAAACTGAGTACAATGTACGCGTTTCCTACCTCGAACTCTACAACGAGGAGCTCTTCGACCTGCTCTCCTCATCCAACGACAACTACAAACTAAGGATTTACGAGGACGTCACGAGAAAGGGCTCGACTATCGTGAATGGGCTTGAAGAAATTACGGTGGGTGCTCATTGGTAATGCAACAGATTGTAAACATTTCTCATTTCATGTTGACGCAGTTCCCTAGGTACAAGATTATAGATGAGAGGTAAGCGCGGATAATGTTACAATGCACGTCGTCATTTTTCTCTTTATTGGACTTGGTTTGGAGGACTTTACTGTTTGCATGTGTGCTGCTGTTGATAGGTAGTCTCTCTCTCCTCTAATTTAAATTTCCACTCGTCATTTGCCAACCATTGTTTGTGTGATTGGCCCTTTGTGGGCCAATAACTCAAAAGAACTTCTAATCTCCACACTACAGATCGTAACTCTAAAAGCAGTCAAAATTCCATCTTAGATCTAGATGGTGTTGATCAATAACCTGGAAATAGTTTATATTATGTAAATGGCAGTGGATATAAACTTATTTCTGTTTAATATGAAATAGAAGAAGTCAGTTTTGTTGCCTTGTAATATTATTAACAAATCTATACCAGAAGTTATCAATTAACGTAAGGGACATTTTGTTGAATATTAGTTACAATATTGAATTCGGAAGTTCCCGCTCTATCGATTGGTATTATTAAAATTAAAGAATGCCCAGCGGTTTAAACTATAGCATATCCCTTACATTAAAAAACATTAAAAAATATGTTAAGTTGTACCTTACATTACTAATATTTTATAATGTAATCCGTCGAGCATAGTGTAAGCAGTAAGAGAAATAGAAAATTATACGTTTTTCCATTGTAAAGGCCTTTATTACTTATGTTATGTAACGTGGATGGAATGGAACAACTAAACATCGTTTTTTAATATAAGGGACACGCTATATTTTAAACCACTAAGCATTCCTAAAGCTTCCGTTTATAGCATGAAAGAAGAGGAAATTCTAAGAAACTTCAGATACAATCAAAATTGGAGTAGACAGTAAAAAGTTATAGACAGATTTTAAAAAATATTTCATTTTTTGGCTCTCGGCAGTTTTTGGCTCTCCTGAAAAACCGTGGTTTGTCCCTTACGTTAATTGATACTTCTGGTATTGATCATGAGCTAAAATTATGGTAGTACTAAATATAGGGGACTGTGTGTATGTGAAATGCGAACAAAATATTCTTAAGAACTTCATTCAACAAATTACACAACGTCAATTACAAATGATGTAAAAAGACAACTTTCGTGTCTGCCCCAGACTGCAATATTTTGCAAGTAGATGGGTGGCTGTGCGCAATGAATGTTTGAAGTTTTGTGAGAGAATGGATGTGTGACTGTCATCTGTGATTTGAATATTAATATATTATCTATAGTCCATCTGTTTAGGTACTTAAATAAATGTAAACAATCTTGAGATGTCTATTTAATGAAATATACATTTATAAAATGATTTTCCCTTACCTTCAAATACAAAATACAAATGCTTGGCTTCATATGAAATTGCATTCCTATTTTTATACCTATTGATTTGTAAAGCATGTGTTTCAATAAAAAGATGTATCAAGATTGTTTACATTTAGTTAAGTACCTAAACAAATGGACTATAGTTATTGAATTTTACAGCGCCTTGGTGATTAACTGTAATACTGTGTAATTTTATGAAATAAATAAATAAAATAAAATAACATGACACACTACAAAAACGACTTTTGCCTTACCTCACAAAAATATTTGTGAGGTCTACAGCAGATCGCTGCATTATGTTCTAATTCAAATTAAAATTATTATTTTTTTAAATACTAACTAAATTTGTAAATAAATTACAGGTATATAACAAAAACGAAGTCTACGACATCATGGCGCGGGGTCAGGAAAGAAAGAAAGTCGCTTGCACCCTTTTGAATTCACAGTCCAGGTAAATAAAACACAGTTTCCAGCACTCGCTTTGTTTTATATATTTTAAATAAACGTTTATATTATTATTTTCGATTTGCAGAGACCATTCCAATAGTTACGCAAAGTAAGTTTTATCACAGGAAACTTCACTGTTAGAGAGTAACATATAAGCTTGGAGGAAACATAATGATATTTCCAGTTTCATAAAATCGCGTAGTTTGTTTATGTTTCCTCTTCAAATTCTTGCATACATTGGGCTGGTATCTGCAAACAAAAATATTGACGAGGAAGCATAGACTTAATGTATTAACGGTAGAATAAAATATAGACACCTATTACATCATGCCATTACCCCGACTAACTGCCATTTCTAGCATTAGTCACACTTTTCAGTTTATCACAGTTTAACACCTCACATCGCACCCTCAATTATAAAGTAGCATATATCGATTTTTTTTAGAAACTGAGTAAATAGTAAACAATATAATAGGGGTTAAAGTATGAAATTGCCGATTTGTACTGAAAATCTAAATTGTTTATTTTTTAAATTTTTAACAAATTTATTTAATCAAAATAGTTGCCATTATTATCTATACATTGCTGCCATCTAATGGGAAGGTTATTAATGCCTTTGCGATAGAACTCCGACGATCTAGACTGCACAAACTGTGTGAAAGCATTTTGTACTGCCTCCTGGGAAGAAAACTTCTTGTCACGTAGATAATTGTCCAAATCACGAAAAAAATGGTAGTCCGTTGGAGCAAGGTCTGGTGAATACGGAGGATGACGAATGGTTTCTAACTGCAGTTCCTGAAGGGTCAAAATGGTTTCTCGTGCTGTGTGAGGTCTCGCGTTGTCGTGGAGCAATAATGGTGAAGATCGATTCATGAGTCGGGGCTGTTTTACTGCTAGTTTTGTCAACATGGTTCGGAGTTCGGCACAATAGACATCTGCCGTTATTGCTTGACCAGATCGGAGAAAACTATAGTGAATAACACCATGCTGAGACCACCAAACAGTTACCATTACCTTTTTATTGGTAAGTTTTGCTTTAGGACACTGTTGTGGCATTTGACCTGGGGTCAGCCATTGCATTTTTCTTTTCCGGTTATCATAAAGAATCCACTTTTCATCACATGTTACAATTCGATCCAATATTCCTTCATTTCTGTACCGGTTCAACAAGGCAACACAAGTTTCAACACGCGTTTCTTTCTGCAGATCAGTCAAATCATGAGGCACCCATTTTTCGTATTTTTTTATTTTATTGATTTGACGCAAATGAGTCAATATTGTGGGTAAGGTAACGTTAAACCATGCCGCTAATTCCTGGGTAGTTTGACTAGGATCGGCTTCCACTATCTCTCTTAATTCATCGTTATTCACCTGTGTGGGCGGTCTTCCTCGTGACTCGTTCTTTAAGTCGAAATTTCCATCACGAAAGCGTTTAAACCAAAATCGCACGGTGCGTTCATTAGTAGACCCCTCTCCAAACGCAGCATTGATATTGCGGGCTGTTTCTGCCGCATTAGTTCCGCGTCGGAACTCGTATTCAAAAATCACTCGAATTTTCGCAGTATCCATCTTTCTTGTCTAAATTTAATAACAAAAACAATTAAAAGTCGATATTCAAATGTTTCAAATTTAAAAAAAAAATCACAGAAACCATTTGAAAAAAGTTTCATTCGAAAACCTCAAACCATGAAGATTCTATGAAAATTCAAAGAACCTATTGCAATAAAACGGCAATTTCATACTTTAACCCCCATTGACTTTAAGTCAATGTTTAACCCCTAATATTTTTATGTCAAATAGAGATTTGTAACAATTGACACCAAGTTTGATACTCAAGATTTAAATCCAACTCTATAAGCCACTTACGATAAGAACGGTCCAAAGTACAAAGTGTCAAGCTTGACGTGCTCTTGACTGTACATATTTTAAAACAATCGTAAAAAATTAAAACATGCTCTCCTGAAATTAAACCAATTTTTCGAAATGGCGCTTTTGCCGGACACTCCGACGATATGTGTGTAGGGCCACGTACATATATTATTGTTTTCAATACAGTTCATTCATTTACTGCGTCATATGTACATTGCCTTCAGATGATTTGTTATTCCAATATTAAGCCGGTGAGTAAAAGATTTATGACCATGCAATAAACGTTCGAGCGTGAGCTAACCGCGCAACATCATTCCCACAGGTGTTGCTTCCAGCGGTAAAAGCCGAAAAACCCAATACAAAAAATCTGTAAAAAACACTTAATGAACATTGTAAGGTCTGCTGAGTCAATTTGTACCTCAGTTGGTAGAGCGATGGCCTTAGTTTGGCATACAGATGCAGCAGGCTCGAGTCCTGTCACATCGAAGGAATTTTTCTTAATGTCCATTCTATGTATTAAGAATTATAACAATCTAGTGGAGTAATTTCAAATAAATAATTAAACTAAAATAACTTTTATTTATCTACAAAAGATAGGAAACACAATACTTAAAAACTAATAGAAAATACAATTGAGTGATGTGGACAATTGCTGATTTTCAGGCTTCACCTGTAGCTAGCTATTTATTCGCTTGCTGCACCAAGCTAATATGCGGAATGTATACCAAGTAATAACCTACCTCAAGTAATAACTAGTAATAAGTTAAAATTTAAAGGCTGTCTGTGTAAACTTTTTTATGTACCTAAAATTTAAAATGTGCTGCTAGAGGTTTTAATTGGGGATCAGTTACTCAATTTCTCTACAGATTGGAGCAATTGCTTACTTCATTTTTTAAAAGTAAACAACGTTTTTGCGTTTTTTACTAGAGGTAGAGGGTCATTCCAGCACTCTGCAAAACGAAAGCTGCCCCTGTACAGACTTAAACAAGTGCTTAGTTGGTATAGCGTCTGGCACGGTAAGCTAGAAGACGTCGGTTCAAATCCGGCCGGATCGAGTGATTTTTTTCTGAGTGTTCGATCTTTGTATTAATAATTATAACAAAGTAATGGAGTAATTTCACAAAAAATAATTGAATACCAATTCAATAATAAAAATTTAAAAGACTTAAACAAGGTTAAAAGAGTTAGTTAAACAAGGGAGAGTCAAATACTGAACATGTAGGCACTCTTATATCAGACATTATCACAGTGTAACCGATCACTCCAGCAAAGTTTTTGGGCCTGATAGCCAGGCGTCAAATGGATATCATGATAGTAAAACATAATCATATCAACAACAGATTCATTAAAAATCAATAACTTCACTCTTATTCCGTAGACATAAAGCTTTTTCGAACTGGCTCAAGCCGCTTTCGCGTTAATATATATGATTACTTCCTTACAGTCAATATTAAATCAATTTAGTCAAATTGTTTGCTTAATCCCATTTGCGTCTGTCTCCAGCCGCTCGCACACAGTATTCACAATCGTAGTGCACATCAAAGAGAACTCCCAAAAGGGCGAAGAGCTGGTCAAGATCGGGAAACTCAACCTGGTGGACCTGGCAGGGTCAGAGAACATCTCGAAGGCGGGCTCGGATAACCCCGCGAAGAAAGAGCGCGCACGCGAGTGCGTCAACATCAACCAATCGTTGCTCACGCTGGGGCGAGTTATCACGGCGCTCGTCGAGAAGCACCCGCATATACCGTACAGGTAATCATTTAAAGGACAACGTACATGCTTAATAATAAGATTCGGCTGTGGTGAAGAAGGTTCTAAAATCCCGGAAAATCCAATACAGCAATCTCACTAGATGTCTCACAATCTCTCTAGGTGTCACTAGTGGCGCAGAATGCCGTAAAATCCAGTACAAAATTCAAAAACACACGTACGAGAGTTTCGACATCTCGATAACTCTGCCGTTCACTAACTTAAAAAAAAAAGAACGACGTCGTTGATCAACAGATAGCGCTGGCATCTCCTTTTTATTCGCTATACAATTTTGGAGCAATTTTTGAGAACCAGAAATATATTTCCCAAAGGCAGTTATTTACTTCAAAACATGTTTAAAAGAATCTTGAACCCAGTAGAAAGAAAGAACTTATAGATATTATGTGTATCGTACAGGGAAAAAATACTTCCTGCGTTAGCGATAGGAGCTGACAACTCTATACCCGTTATATACATATAATGTCGTGGATTCAAGTCCCATCGGGTCGAAAAAGTTTTTCTATGTGTTCGATCTTTGTGTTAATCATTATAAAAACTAGTGGAGTTATATCACAAAAAATCGCAGTAATAACTAAGATTCAAGTCATTCACACGGTTTAAACATCGTCAAATAAAAAATACACTAAAGATTATCTACATGCTCGGATGATAAAAATTCCATAGAAATCCATTTCAATCCATTTAACATTACGATAAACATTAACAAATCTATTTACAAAAAGCAAGCCCGAGCGTTTCATTGATTTATGAATAGACGACGATACTTGCCCGACAAACCTCCCGAACTGGAAAGCGGTAGTAGCCCAATGAAAGAACAAAAAAATACAAAATAAGTATTGGTAAGAAAGTATTATTTTTTCAGAGAATCAAAGCTGACGCGTATCCTCCAAGAGTCCTTAGGCGGTCGTACAAAGACCTCGATTATCGCAACCATATCGCCCGGTCACAAGGATCTAGAAGAGACGATGAGTACGTTGGAGTACGCCAACCGCGCCAAGAACATCCAGAACAAGCCGGAGGTGAACCAGAAGTTGACGAAACAGGCGATATTGAAGGAGTTTGCTGAGGAAGTGGACAAGTTGAAGCGTGAATTGCTTGCTACAAGGGAAAAGAATGGTAAGGGATGAAAACGTATTATATTTACTACACTTATTGACTTATATCACTGTTATTTTTTATGCTACAAAATTACGGGACGTGGACGTTGTTGTAAGTGACGTGTCATAATAGTTGCAGTGCCGCTCAGAGCTTTAAATTGCAAAATCTGAGTGGCTCTGCCACTGCGCCCTTCACCATGAGACATAAGGCGACAAGTCCCATGTGCCTGTAATTTCACCAGCACCCTTTCCCTTCAAAACCGGAACACGGTCATGCTGACATTACTGTTTGGCGGCAGAAATAGATAAGGTATTTTCCTGGACGCACTCTTTCACAAGGAGCTCTACTGTTGCTGAAACTGTAGTGACGAGTCTGTATTGTTCTTTTTATTCATTTATTTACCTATTCTTTGTTGATTAGGCATCGTTGTAAGTCAAATTAGAGCGCGCGTGACAATATTATTGTTCGAAAGTCCTACGAGAAGGTAGATGTACAAAGGCGAGTTATGTCGACAGGCGTGTACCTGCCCACGGAGACGTACGAGGAGATGACGGTGAAGGACGAGGAGCAGCGGCGCGAGATCCAGGAGCTGCTGCTGAAGAAGCGCGCCATGGAGGACGAGCGCGAGCGCATGGAGGCCGTCTTCCGCCAGCTCGAGGAGCAGCACGCAATGGCCAGGGACTCGCTGGCCGACACCATGGACCGGCTCGACGCCACGGCCGCGGTTCGTGCCTTCGCCGCTTCAGTACTCTTGCGAAGAGGAAAAGACATAAGATTTTGAGTCTCTCGTCGAAACTGACACAAATTCATCAATACCTAGATGAGCCTAATAATAAGAACGATTTATAGCGAACATGATAAAGAGAGGAAATCATAGTGCCCTCTACTAAAATTTCTGTTTCCAACTGGGTCCACAATTGGTTCTCATAGATATAAGTTTTCATCTTTGTATCGTTACATTGCCGTCCGCAATCTAAAACGCGATTATGTGACAAAACCATTTTTTGCGATATCATAATAATAGTAGTAATAACGCACACACTCATAGCCCCTCACTAGGGAAACCCTGTGTCGCGAGTGCCGTGGACCCGCAAATTACACCCAAACTCACGACAAAAACAAATGTAGGCCATAAAAATATCTCGCCCGGGAATCGAACCCGGGACCTCTGCGTGGCAGTCCGGCATGGTAACCGTTCGGCCACTGAAGCAGTTAAGAGAACCATCACCCAGTAGTAGAATATTGAAATTATTTAATGACATTTTATCTTTGCGTCATTAGGGTAAGTCCAGATACGTCGGACACACTGACTTTTAACTGTTTTTAAATAGAGAATTTTGATATCTATCTATAAGTTATTTGAAACGAATATTTGCAACTTGTCTTAGCCGTGCTTTGGTTAGTGGACGGCAGTGTGCAATGCAACAAAATGACTGGTTACTGATTTGGTTGACGCGTGTGATGCAGCGGCTGGCCGCGGCGGAGCAGCAGCGCGCCGAGCGGCAGTGCCTGCTGGAGAGGCACGTGCGGACGGAGGACCAGCTCACGCAGCAGGCGCAGCAGCTCATCGCCGCGGCGGACGCGGCCAGCGGCGACGTCGCCTGCCTGCACGACACGGTCGACCGGCGCAAGTCAGTTGTTCCCCCCTGCTTCCTACTAAATCTTCTGTCTGCAGTATGCCATTCTGTGCGGTTTTAGTAGCAGAAAAGCTCCTTCTGCTGCAAAAGTTCGGCCAGGGAAGTACTGCCACCTTATCTATTTCTGCACCCAAACAGTAATGTCAACATTACTGTGTTCCAGTTTTGAAGGGTAAGGGTGCTGGTGAAATTACAGGCACGTGGGACTTGTCAACTTGTCTCAGGGTGACAGACACTGTGGCAATTCCACTCAGATCTTTGCGATTTAAAGAGCTCAGTGGCACTGCAACTGTTATGGACAGGCGTGTAGCTTACCATCAGGCGTACGACTTGTTCGTCCCGTCACTTGATATTATAAATGAAAAAAGAGAAAAAGACCATTGCTCGCATTGACCTACCAATAAATGGACGTCGGGTTCGCGCTAAAAAGTGTCCGCACCTGTAGGGCGTTAAAATCGCATACAGAGCGTCAATCGCGCAACAGTTTTCGTTTGGTCGACTGACAGCGCGGTTGTCAATCATGCAGTACCAATAATAATAACTTATACAAATTACTGCAGTAATGTGTAAAAACAGGATTTTGTAACATATTTTCACTAAATAAATATATTGTGTTCTTAGGTTTTCGCGATTGTTACACATACACACCTGTAAAGGGCCCGAAACGTCGGTTTATTTGAAAAAACAAATATACGCGATTTAAATCCGGAAAAATAGTTTCATTTCCTAAATATATTGTGTTATCATAGTTCTCATTTAAAAGTGTTATTTTATACAGTTTTATAGTATTTAATTTATATATAACTGAATCGTAGATTCTTACCCCAAAAGGGCCTGTATTCGTACATTATATCCAATGCTTTATAAGCGGTTAAAATACGTGAGGCATACATGACAGGTTTACGATGCACACGTCCTTTCTCTTCGAGAATTTTAATGGGAGTGACGGCGGAACGAACCAAAGTAAGAATAACAAAAGGAAATAAAAAAAGGATTTAAAATTTTAAATGTGATAAAAACGAGGGTGGTAAAAAGAAAGGGCGACCATGAAGAAGGTCGCATCATCACAGACCTTCCACTCGATACGCTCCTAACAAACCTGTCGCCTCCTCCACTCGGCTTCTTGATATACGCCCGGGATACGGACATCCCCAATCTAATCAAGACGTACGCGTCGAGATCTACGTCTCCTCACGTTGCCATCCATATTCATTTTGTAAATAAGTAACTCTACACCTACTGCACAAAGCTCTCGTTGCAAAAATTTCTAGGAGTGCACAAACGCTTGTTTGTTCCAGAAACGTGGAGAGCGCGAATCAGCAAACTGTGGCTGAGTACCGCGAACAGTCGACGGCGCAGCGCCAGAGCATGCTCGGCGAGCTGCACACCTTGAGCGACAACTTCACGGCGGCGAGGGACCAGCTGCAGGCCACTATTGGTGAGATTGAAAAATAAAAACGTGTTGTAACATCGAGTATACATACTATAAGTTTCCGGAAATGGCCACTTACATAAACAATATTTAATAAGTAATTACAACATTTGAAAATGTGAACTCTTTGGCTGTAGAATACAGTTTGTTTCATCTGACTGTCACTTGCTTTTACATTGTGACGTCATTTTAGAAAATGGTTGTCTACATCGCCAAGGATTTAACTCGTGAAAATCTTCGTAATATGATTTTCTACGACTTTAAGCGTAATTTAATAGCTCAGCGGAGCTTCGCTCGGCTTCAAACTGCTTTTGGCGATGAAGCACCATGCAAGACAACTATTTATAGCTGGTTTGAGATTCAAACGCGGTCGTGTGAATCTCAGTGACGAATTTCGTGATGGTCGCCCGTCCACTGCTGTGAACAACAAAAACATCGATGCCTTGCGCCGTATGATCAAAACAGACAGGCATGTGACATACCATCAGATTCGGACATGTTTAGGCACAGGCATAAGTCAAATACAATCAATACTACACAAACATTTTGGTGTGAAAAAGCTGTGCTCTCGGTGCATCCCACACAATTTAACCGAACTTCAAAAAACGGATCGCGTCACTTGGTGCAATGCCGTGCTTACCAGATTCAACGAAGGGCCGTCAAATTTGGTGGGGGACGTAGTAACAGGTGACGAAATATGGATTTATAATTACGAACCCAAAACAAAGCCGTAATCGAGCGTATGGGCCTTTCGAGATGAGCCGAAACCAACCAAAGTGGCACGCGCGTAAAGTGCCTCTAAGCGGATGATTGCTTCTTTTTTTAATAAAACTGGACACGTGGCTACTGTTGCTTTGGAGAATCGTTGTACCGTGAATAGTGAGTGATTGGTACGTGACAATTTGTTTGCCGGAAGTTATTGACTAACTCCGTAAAAATAACCGTAAACGCCGTATCATCTTGCATCACGATGATGCCAGTTCTCACACGGCCACACAGACAAATGAATTTTTGAAGGTGAACAATGTTGACCTTATGAGCCATCCCGCGTACAGTCCCGACCTAGCACTGACTTTATTTATTTCCAAAAATTAAGAACCATTTACTCGGTCAACGATTTTCACCACCTGAAGAGGCTGTCGAAGAGTATTAAAAATATGTTTCAGAGATTGTCACAGAGGTATGGCATAAATGTTCTCAAAATTGGTTCATTCGTATGAAAAAGTGCATTAACGCTAACGGAGAATATTTTGAGAAACAATAAATTCATTTCAGACCATTTATAGTATTTTTTTCTTATTCATTTCGGAAAATTTTAGTGCGCCACACGTATAACCAGAAGTAGAGACGAAATGTCATTTAATTTGTTTGAAAACTATTCTGCCAAATCATTACGGTAACAACTGCGCTCCAATTAGCCAGCCCGAATTCGAAACAATTGACGGGTGTCGCCAATTGTTTCACTCCAAATCGACTAGTTTAACTTGAGTTTTGCTATAATGGACGAAAATTGACAAATTAAATTTTTAATTACCGATCATATGTGATTCCGTGTGTTTGTAATTAGATGTTTTGCTATTTTTCCCATACCACCGAATGGGACAGCGCCCCATAGTTAGAGATATTGTCGTTATTACAATAAATACAGAATATTTTTGGAATATACGGAGGCGTACACACAGATCGGTTGTTGGCGCTGTACTATTTTAGCTTTCTAATTTGTGATTTCAGTGCAAATGACAGTTGACATTTAAAAGCTATAAAAGGCCCATTTACCTGTTGAGTTGCCAGTGATGAATGGCCCTTATTTCGTCTCTATTTCAGGTTATATACTCGATGTGTCAAAATAACATGTAGTGTTACGGAAAAGCAACCAAAGCGAGAGCTTGACACGCGCGCTCATTGACCGACACGTCTGAGGTCACGTAGCGGTTACTGCAGGAGTATCGTCATCCCTCCATTTTGACAAAATTAGGCTATATCAACGTTCAATGTGTTTGATGTCATCTCGTCATTACACAATACATTGAGAAAATCGTCTGACGAACCCAAAAGATTTTAAGAGTGTATGAAGTTAATAAGTAATACAGAGTGTTACCACCGTGTTCACGCTACGGTTCCCTCTAGGGAGAAGCGACATACTCTTGCACGTTAAGTCAATTGTGTTAAGCAAGCACTACCTCTAAGTTCGACCTTACGACCAAACAAGCAAGCAAGTTGCATTGCGTCGTATATTTTGGAGTTATGTGTAATTTAGAGAGCGGTGGTTGCCCAGGGCGAGAACGGTGGCTTTCGAATTGCGAAGTTAACGGTTCGAATACCTATGCTATATAACGTACCTCTACTACTTTAATTTCTAACTAAAATATGTATGTTCCATTAGTAAATGTCTATGCTTCACATCCCTTGAAAAAAGTGTGTAGTCCCCTACCTCCTACCTACACCCAATCTTTAACCTATTACCACTAGGGCTTAAACGTGGAATGTTTAATGGGTTAAATTCAAATTCAAAATAATCTTTATTTCATAGGTAAGCATTATTACACTTGAAATCGTCACAATGGTTAAACTCTACCGCTCATTCGTAAGGCAGATTCCCCTGAGAAGTATGAGCAAGAAACTCTAGGGGTTGCTCTTTGTAAATAACATTTACAATATTTTTTTATTTGAAACATCAGATTGAGACTACCTCAATGAGCTAAACGGGTTACTACCACGGATTTTTGTCATCCAAATACGCAGAAGTTGTATAATAACCTTTAGTATAAAGTTTTTGTTTCACTATAGTTTTAAACCTCGTGAAAGGCAAATTTTGTATATCAACCGGAATCTTGTTATAGAAGCGTATACATTGCCCCTTAAATGATTGTTTGACTTTGTGAAGACGACTATCAAGAAAAGCTAGTTTATTTTTATTCCTCGTATTAATGTTATGTCTGTCACTATTTTTCATAAAGAAATTACTATTCCTTTTAACATAAATTATATTTTCATAAATGTATTGTGAGGCTAGTGTAAGAATGTTAATTTCCTTAAACTTATCTCTCAA